GACGAAGCCACCCAAGATCGTCTTCACCTCACACGGGCCTTTTTATCGGTTCTTTTTGTTTTGATTAGCGGCAGAACAAGAGAAACATGTTAACATCTCCAGGTGTTTACCTTTTTGTCATCGTGGTGCAATATAATCACTCGATGCATTGTGCGAATGTAATTGGGGAGCTTGCAAGGCCGGGTGTGAAACAGGCGGTCTGGAAATACAATACCAACCTCAGCCCCGTTCGCTTTGGATCCCATGAGGGGGTGCAAGGTCGGAGCTACCTCTCGCAGGAGTGATCTCTTGCCCTTGCCTGATAGCATGTCAAACCCCTCCGCCAGGTTTCCCAAAGCCGAATTCAAGAGATCCACTAGGTATGTTGCATTTCAACGTTCCCAAAAGGAAGCCCAAAGGGGATAGGCCCAACTCCGTATTGAAAACCTACTTCTAGGGAGATCAAGCTCGCTGATTTTATAATAAACTAGGAGAAGCGTAAAGGAGATCTCATGGAAAACAAAAACACATTTTGCTTCGTGAAGGCCAAGGGCCCCAAGGCCGCGCTCTGTCGGCTCGCCCGGAGCAAATCGAGCCGGTAACTTCCCCGGTCTGAGCCCAAACCACCAAAGCCCCGGAAAAAAAGAAGAAGCCGGGGGGTTCAAAGAACGATGGTTGTGAAAAGCACGATTGAAATAACCCCCTAGAGCAAAGCTGTTGCCAAAGAGTGAGAACAAATACGTGTTGCATGAGAGTGGTTGCGCCAGTGTCAGACACAAGACAAGAATCGCCGGGAATAACCAGTGTGATACCTGTGAGCGGTTGATTCCCCATCCCTGTGGCTAGTATCCCAGGATGAGTGACCCCTTGATCCATCAGGTCTTCCATACTTGACCTTCGCTTCCGCCAGGGACTGTTCGTTCGCCAGGTTCTACTTAGATCCAAACGTTGCTTTGTCAATTCAAACAGCACTCCCCATGTTTCCCCCTTTAACATCACCCCAAGAGGAAACTCACCTACAATTGGTCCAGAAGGTGTTCTGTCAACTTGCTCAAGAGTAAAAGCATGGGGTCCCCTAACAAACTGGGCTGTCCTCAGATCCCCCCGCTGAAAGTTTAACTTTTAGTGGGTTAAATGGACATCCAAGCGCTAAAAGGCTAAAAAGCGAAGGATCCCGGATGGCTTTTTGCCACCAAGAGTTCACAGGCCCCCGCTCACTTCTGCGCCACTTCAACAGGCACGCCATGCCCCCTCGGGCCTCGGGGATGCCGCTTCCCCGCGCCGTGGGCGCGAAGCTCTTGACCAAGCACGCAGAGAGCCTGGGCTGCGTGCGTGCGTGCGTGGGTGGGCGTGTGTCTGCGTCTATGCCGGCGTGTTTTGAGGGTACCCTTCGAAAGGTTGCTAAGAAAACCAAGAGTTTGGGGTCCCCCCCATTTTTTTTGACATACCGGCCCCCATGCTCAGAAGCTTGGCTTTGGGATACCAAAATTCCAGAATCCTCACATGAGGGTTGGGTTGAGACCATCACCGAACCTGTGGGCGTTCAAAGAGGCCGAGAGAATTTAGTCAAGCGACTGTTGGTAACCAGGCAACGCAATTCAATGTTGGTGTGCTGGTGTTGCATGTTGATTTCTACTGGGTGAGCTTGCCAGGTTGGATCTCCCCGAACGGAGAGAAAGCAGCGGGATGCGGGAAACCCTAGACGGGAAACGTCCAGTTCCACTCGTCCGTCTATAGATGTCGGCTTTGCCTTTTGACCCGACATCAAGTTGGACCTGCAAGGGTCTAACTTCAAACGGGGTCCCGGCTTCTCCAGGCTTCCCAACCACTTCTTGGCGCACCTTTGGGGTGCTCGAAAATAATCCCGACTCTGCACCATACAGGTCAAACCTTTCAACCATAGTCTTGTCCCTCAATCACCCAGTCGGGGGGAGAACGTTGTGCGCTTGTGCGTATGCAATGATATGGGGTCCCGACATAGCCCCGAAAAAATGCTTCCCACAAAAGGAGCAAAGTCTGACGCTTCACTGGAATTTCCATCCGAGCTAACGGCTGTTCAAATGGCCCTCGAAACATGTACAGAACTTGTCAAACGCAAGAATCGGGTGCCCAGGCAGTCTTGTTCAACAGCCCTTTTGTGCCATGCCAACCTGAAAGCCAACCTGGGCATCTGTCCAGGAAGGCAATCTTCCCTGTGGCCGGAAAGAAACCCAAAACAAAGAGCTGACAGCTCAAGGAACGACCCGCGAAAGGGGAAGCTTCAGCCTCATCCCACAACTGATAAGCGTTAATCTGGCATTCCCACGAAGTGCGCACATACATTATACAATGGTATCAACTCTTCACCTACTAAAGGGCTCATTGCCGTTGGCAATCCTCCAAAAAAAGCTCATCCCGAAAATTCGGTTGAATCAAGCCGAAAATTCGGAGCTTCATGCGGAGAGAGCTTGCGACTCAGTTGGCCAGGGTGTCCAAGGGCTCAACATTGCACCTCTGGGGTGTGTGGGCCGTATATGATGCCCAACGGTACCCGCACCCGTCTTTGCAGAGCTTTTGAAGGACAACCCTGGTGTAACCAGCGGCAGGCAACTAATTAGCTAGATCGGTAAAAAACAACTGCAGGATGGCATCCGGTACCTGCGCGCAAAACGGTTTTAGCAGGGTCCTGAGGACTTTCCCTAGGGTCTTTGTGGATGGGGTCCTTGACTTTTCGGTTGGGGGGAACACCGCTTATTCATCCGCCCGGGGTATCCAGCCGGGTTCAATGTTAGGGGTGGTTCTACGAGAAGGAGCACAATATTTCGAGTAGGGTTGCGGGGCACTGTCAACCAAACTACGACTTGTCCACAAGAGAATGATGTGTGATTGTTCAGTGTGTTTCTTGGGTGTGGGGAGGGCTCAAAACGCATCCGGTGAAAGGGCACTAAGTGACAGACAGACACACACACACACACACTAATGTCCCAGAGTAGCGTGGCAAAGAGCACGCTGATGGCCGTGTAGGCGGCAAAGCTTTGCCCATAGGCGCCGGACCAAGGCAGCCATTGCCCTTGAAGGTCTAAACGGCTGTACCTGCCGAAGAAGGGCATCCCCAGCGGGGAGCCCCCTTCCATTCATGATTGCTCTTGCGCAAGCAGCACGGCACCTGCTGCACAGGCACCGCTGTGAAACATGCCAACCGCCCACATTCTGAAGATTTGGGCCAGTTTGCGACACCAACAGTCGCAAAGGGTTCCCAAATATATAGCAATTACTTCGAACAATCCCCACCTAAGAAAGTCGCGCAACCTAGCTTGCGACAGCACCGGCAGTCGATAAGAAAGGTCAACCCGACCTCGAACGGGGCCTCAAGCATGCTGCTGGCTGATGCGGTCGCGAATCGATGCAGAATCAAAATGCAAGCAAAGGCAGCGTCGACCCTGGCCAACAGTAGCCATAGGTGTGGACGAGAATCACACTTCGCTGCTTGGTGGGGTTCACTCTGGTTCTTTCTGGCCCGGAACTGTAGATGCCAAAGCTTGGGCAGCAGCTGGCTGTGATAGGCCAGTTTTCGTCAGTGGCGGTCTCAAAGCCTGAGAGCTGTGACAGAAGAAGGTAAGGGCTTCGCGCTGTCTCCGTTGGATTCGGACTGGTCAGTTCCTGTCTGTCACAGCTTTCCGTCACGGGCTCTATCTGTTGAAAGAGTCTGACCGGATGTCACTTAAATTCTAAGTAGCCCAAACCTGAAAACCGTTTTGGAGGAGCCCAGTACAGTGGCAACCTTAACAGCCTGCTTTCAGCATGCCTCCAGTGGTTCAGGAACTCCGATGCGAGCTCAATGAGCGTTCCAGTGGACGCAGTCAGCACACCGATCACCAGGGGCAAGGCCTACAGACATGTGGCAGGCTCTCGGATACCAGCCAACACCTCCGTTGCCTAAGTTTCTTGGACAAGCATATATAAAGCATATATGTCTAGTAGTGATAGGTTCTCTAAAACCGAAGAATGCCCAACTGGTTTGCCCGGTATCTCCAAAGTTTTGAGGGGCACAGAACTATTATAGTTGTTCAGCCAGTTCATACAGGTCCTCAACATGGACATTCAATTTCCAAACAATTCTGATTTTTCGCGTCAAGCGACTTCTGACTTGCCCAAAGGAGAGCCAACTTTCATCGAACTTTTCCAAATCTCAAGGTCCAAAGTCGGCCTTGGGACTTTCTGGGCCTTGACTAAAATGACAACGAAATCAGCCAGCAAAAAGCTTGAAGTTTGCAAACTCAACTGGTTTAAACAACCTCCTTTGTTTTCGCTGTACAGTGTGGGCGTGGATGCATGATTGTTGAGCTTCCCAACTGGCGCGCGCGTCAGAGGGAAATAAAGCTCTCTCTGCAGTGCACAACCAACAAAGCGACAATCTCAAATGACTTGAGGGGTTCTTGTCTTTCATCTCTGCCCTGGGACTGCCCAAAGTCACCCTCCAGCGCAACCCAAGAAAAGGTGAAAAAGGTACCCTCAAGCACATCAACCCTTTCTGTGACCCCAATGGGGGGGAGGACCCTGGGATCCACAGAGTCACTTGCATTGAACAGTGCGAAACCCCAAGCTCAACAGTCCTGGGCGCTGGCTAAAAAGACAAAGAAATCAACCACAATTTGAAGTTTGCGAACTCGGGAAATACAGTTCTATACTAAGAACATACCAACACAAGCGCAACAAACTCATGCCCCAACCAGTACAAACCATCAACATGCGCCATCAACCCTGTCTGTGATGGAGGGGACAGTCCTGGAATCACAGTGGGGAAATCTCGGCTCATTGCCAGAAGAGTGGGGCCTGCTGCTCCATTTAGCGTGGGTGCAATTGACCGATCGCCACTCTGGATCCAGCCGGAGATTGAGGGCTGCCTACAAGATTGCTGCAACTAGGTCTTACCAAACGGATAACGGCCAGGAACTCTAGGAGTGCAAGGTACCCTGATGTGAAATCCCGGCAACTGAAACTGCTTGGCCACACAAAAAGGAACTAGAAGGGTGGGCAGCAAG